TTTAACCTCACGTCACTGGAAGCGTTTCCTCTAACAAGAGTTAGAGGAAACATGATTACCCCCTACAAAATTCTTAGAGGAATTGACAGGAAAATGACAAACTATTTAGCAGAGGTGATACAGGAACAAGGGAACGCAATTGGAAATAGAGTACCCAAATGAACCACAGAGACAATGGAAAGAATTTGTGCAATGCAGAGTAGTTAACAAAAGAAATGCACTGGAAAGTGATGTGGTGAGACATATTCCATACGCAGTTTCAAATACTGATATGACAAGAGCCCAGTAGGCTCGGAAGCTTCTACACTAGTTGATTATCAGTTGAGAAGCAGGACCAAAGAGCCGGAGCTCAATCCCCGCAAGCATAACTTGGTGAATACACTCCCTTTACTTTTTTTTAGCGAGAAGGCTGACCCAGCACAGTCTGAAGAATATTACCACGCCACCTCCACTTCCTTTTGAGAGAGTGAGCGATCACGTGTCTCTTGTATCTGTAAATCAAGGAAGACAACGCAGACTAGGTTACGAGTTTGACGAGCACTGGCTCCAGTTTGATATCGGAACATCTATATAAAAACGTGAACTCTGCTCGACAGTAATACAAACAAGTATCACTTACGACAATGAGTCAGTTTATACCCAACAGAACAAATAAGTTAACAATATAATTAGTGAAGAATACAGTTAACAAGGTAGACACCACCGACCACACGACGCCGGGGAAGATAACCCACATGAGGCGGCCACGTAAACACCACATATTTGTAGTTAGGCCAAACCTAAAAACCACAAAAAATTGAATACCGGAACAGATAAGCCCAAGTCAGGCGAAGATGAACCCCTTGCCTACATCCTTGAGTCACTGATAAGAATAAAACAAAAAAAGTTTGATCTCATTATGCCTAGGCCTACATCCAAATTTTCATGACATGCACATTCATATTAGCCCGAGTGCTACCGAAGCAGAACCTACTCCCAGTAGATTTAGGCAGCTCTAAATCTAACCTAAAATGATTGAAGATAAAATACCTAAATGTATTTGGAAAGAGTACATTTAAAGAGTACAGTATTGGGAAAGAAAAAGTAGATTAAGGCAGCGTCTGGGATTCTCTTAGACGCAGGTTCGAATCCTCGTCACGGCCCTTGTGGATTTTTTCATTGGAAAAGAGTATTGGGAACCTAAACCATACACCATAAACAGCACGAAGACAAAACATACCATCAAAATAACATCATCCCCTTGGATTAGTAAAGTCCAGCCGAGAACACAAAGGATTTCCACTAATAACGAATGATAAGGAAGGCCCCAAATTCATAGGAAAGCCTATATCAACGAAATATGTGCCGGTGGTGGCCATGGGACCCACACAGAGCCACATACAAACCATCAGCTCTTTCATTATGAGGAAGGGAATTATCAGGACAAAGCCCCCAAGCCATTACGACTGCATAGCACTTGGTAGGGATCAGAATAAGGATTTGGGAAGGGACGGAGGGGAAGGAATAGTGCCCAACCACTTGAACGGTCCGGGGTTGAAGACCGACCTGCATGATGCGAGACCAAGACCTGGCTCTACCGTCCAGGCCGGCCATTCTTTCATCACAAACGGTAGGCCTAATAAAGTAGGCCATATGACGAATCATAAAAATGGACGGAAAGTGAGCACACGACGGAGGGGGAAAGCCCAGAGAGCGGGATGAAGGCCCAGAGAGCGGGACACATCGGCTAAGATGAAAGGCGGAGGGGTTATGCTGCACCTATGAGGAAGGCCTACAGAAACTAAAGATGACACAAAGAAAAAAATGAACCCAGAAAATTATGTAGAAAGTGAAAGGGGGGAGTTGGGTTAGATTTATAGAAGGTATATGTAGGAGCAAAGATCCCTTCAGTACAGGGTCCACTATTCATTAACATGATAGAGCGCGTTGGGGCTACCCTGGACGCTGGCTCGATACCCACCAATGTTTATATTAAGGCCTAAAGGTTACTTAAAATTAAGGCACCTTTGTGCATCCAAACAAAACCATGAAGCCCATCTCATCTTACACGATGCAAAACGCACCAACAGACTTCCTGAACCGATAGGAAAGGAAATAACAAAAATTAAAGACGTTGGAGCATCACAATGAAATGGAGATGCATACCTCTATGGGGGAGATTACGGCGACACTGGCTTTTATGGCCCCCTGCTGTGCTCACATCTGCCGCCTCCACCCTGTGGGATTATACCCCCTGACTGCTTGCCAGAACACCCGTGGCCTAGCTCACTTTTGCCCAACAGCCTCCACCCATGTTTCATTTCTTCCTACATCGATGAGCCTTCCCATGGTACAGGCTGTACAGTACAGGAGAAATTGATAACAAGTTTAGGCGATTCGATATCAAGAGATCGATACTGGCTGTGGGATGGGGGAGGGTCGGAGCTTGGGGAAGCTGTGGAATATGGGAGGGGGCTGGGAGGGTGATGGGAGGGAGCCAGGAGGGGGGAAGCATCATTGAAGCGCACGTGGTCACCCTCCTCGCAGCTGCTCCCAGTAACCGTCGCCTGGATTCCTGTGTTGTGGTATCCAAATACACCTTATCGTTTCATATCGTGCAAATCGGTTATCATGATTTACTGCCACACAAGAAACATGTCTGAACGATATAACCTTCAACTAAAGATTCGGTTGGTAAGCAAGAAGCCGTTAGCTTTAATTTTAGGTTACATCGCTGTCGGTAACGCTTCAACAAGTCCTTTAATAATTCCCCAACGCCTAACGCAGTGTGGCTGTTTCCAAGTGGCTTTTAAACTCTCTTCTTCCTCTCAAGTTTAAAAACATCAACACACCTAACTGAATTATTCTGATTAAGAAATTGCTGTTTAATTTTGTAAATAAAATTGTAATAATATTAATCACCGGGCTATATGTTCACTGGATATAGATATCACATATCTTCATATGTGATAACAGTGAGGCATATCTAAGGCCTAAAACTGAAAACAAATGTAAAGCACAAAAATTGTGTTGTTTATATAACAAGTTGAGAATATTTTATAGGCCCCGCATATAAAAATTTGACAAAATAGTAAGCCCAATGAGATTTATAACTTTTATTGTCCCAAAACATCTTTTGCCAAGAAGTTCAGCTAGGGACGGAGGCCCGACGCCTTCCACAAAGAGGATAACCAAGGCAGTATCTTCAGATCTCCAACCACCAAAGTAAATAATAATCACCACCACACTGCATGATAGAATGCACTTTCAAAACACACACACACACACTAGGACGTGTGTGTGTGTGGCGCTGGTGGCTGAGTGGACAACATGCTGGTTACGTAGTCTTGTGGTCAGGGGTACGATTCCTGGTGCCGGCGGAAACAAAAATGAGCAGTTTATTTCACCCTGATACCCCTGTTACCTAGCAGTAAATAGATACCTGGGCGTTACATAGCTGTTACGGGCTGCTTCCTGGGTGTGTGTGAAAAAAAAAATAGTAGTAGTTAGTAACAGTTGATTGACAGTTGGGAGGCGGGCCGAAAGAGCAGAGCTCAACCCCCGTAAGCACAACTAGATAAATACACTATATACTGATTGATAATACGGTATTGTAAACAATGACTCCACAATATTTGAAAGTGGCACCTCCGACTTCGTTTGAGGTCCTAAGGTTATCTTGAGATGATTTCGGGGCTTTTTAGTGTCCCCACGGCCCGGTCCTCGACCATTCCTCCACCCCCAGGAAGCAGCCCGTGACAGCTAACTAACACCCAGGTACCTATTTTTACTGCTAGGTAACAGGGGCATAGGGTGAAAGAAACTCTGCCCATTGTTTCTCGCCGGTCTGCGTTAGTCGAACACACTTCCCAGAAACTTCTCTTTGTTTGACTAAAATACTACAACATAGTGTATGGGGCGGTGATAGAATAGTGGGCGTGTTTAGAGGATTGGGGAATGGGGGAAGGGGTTATGTTTGAAGGATGGGGCCAGCGGGTGCTAGGAAGATGGGGTGATGTTAGGGAAATGGAAGTGTGGGTGTGATGATGATGATGATGTTAGGGATGGATGTTAGGATGAAGGGTATTCAGCTGGGATAGCAGGTCTCGAGAAACTACCCGGGGGAATTTTGGTCAGGTGGGAATCCCTAGAAAAACCTCGATAGTGGCCAAGAACTCATTAAACCAGCCAGGGCAATTACCGGGTCTTGCCGCCAGTACCCTCCTTGCCCTGGGGCTCCTGGGGGAGCTGCCTACTCACATTTAAAAGCACAATTAGTAATAAATCACACAAAATCTATTTCAAACTCGTTAACAGACAATGGCTTTAACCTGATCAAAACAAATAGTCTAGACCCAGCATTCCTCAAGAAACAATAACTATCCAAGTCTTCACTTATTGTTACCCCTGTTACAATATTGATAGAATTTCGAACATGCAACTTTAAAACTTGATCAATATAATGGCCTGAAATCCAGAAAACAGCGTCTCTTCAAGTGTTTAAAACTATTCCCGACGTTCAGCATTGGTTCACACTAACATACAGTAAATACAACATCATTTACACAGCTACTATGGACAACACGAAGGGTTACACACTAGAATACAAAATGCTCTTCTCACAAGAACGCTATGCGTACTAGTGGCTTTACAAGGATGTAAACACAATGTTATGTACTCTCACAAATCCAATGTACCTTCTTGTGTATAATATATATATACACACAAGATATATATATATATATATATATATACAAGAATACTCTTCTTTCATTCTACTTTGCTCTGATGAAGGCGAATTAGCCGAAAACGCGTTAAGCATTCTCTATTTTTCAAATGTGGTTTTTCCGCATACTTGGATCAGTGTTTTTGTGATCATTGTTGCATATATATAAATAAAAATATAAAAATAAATGGTTAGTCACACAGGGGTCACATGATCTGTTCAACCTTTGGGGTGACCTTTAACTACGCAAATCTCCGGTAACAATACGCAAGAATATTAACAGAAGACAACTTACCTTGTACACAGTGTCCGTAGGTATGTCTCAGCCTCGTACTTATCCAAACAATTGTCTGCTGGGAGTCTTAGGTAAAGGAAATAATTTGTGGATATATGTTAACGAAGAAAATCAATTTTCAAGTTCTCATTCGTGCACAAACTACACTGCTTAAGTTAATCTTCATTACCGTATATAACTCACAACGTCGATTGCCATTCTAATACCACATATAAAGGCAAAATAAATCTTAACGAAACTATTAAAGGCAAACTCTCTCATACAGATATTTTCGCAGACAGTAAAACACCCATACGACTCGGCTTTTGTCCAGTAACTGACGGCTCGCGGTGTTTAGCAGTGTGTGCTGCCTGTGCTGCCGTAAATGTTGTCGTACTGTGTGTGTGTGTGTGTGTGTGTGTGTGTGTGTGTGTGTGTGTGTGTGTGTGTGTGTGTGTGTGGGATTGGAGTCTAGTCTACTAGCCTTCACTAGCAAACTCTGCCTGAGCATAAGAATTTCTCAGTATTCGTGGGTGTACGAAGTAGTTACAGAGTTCAAAGTATCTTGCATATACTTTGTGTATGTGTGTGTGTGTACTTTGGGGATTAATATCCCATTAAAGACTTTGTACCTCACCTCTTTCCTATCTGTATACCCATCCCACTGAACTGTAAATCCATCCTTCTGAAGATTTATTATAAAATACGAAAGTACTTAAGGAAATTCCTGTCTTAATTTTCCTTCGTGGTCTGACACGGTCATTTATATACACACACACATATATATTAATATATCTACATATATTTATATATATATATATATATATATATATATTGCTAAGAAAACTACTACAAATTAATGGTTTTTGTTAAAATAAATCATGTTTAATTTGCACCTGGTAAAAACACACTAATATAAATCCGAAGTGCAATGTTTACACACATGTCAGTGTTGATTGGTAGTTGAGAGGCGGGACCCAAGAGCCGAAGCTCGACCCCCGCAAGCTCAACTAGGTGAGTACACACTAGTCAAGTAATTTATACAGGAGCTAGTGACCTGTGTATATTTTAAATACAGGAGACTATATATTATATATATATATTATATACATATAACTGAAAACTCACACCCCAGAAGTGACTCGAACTCATACTGCCAGGAGTACTCTGGTGCTCCTGGCAGTATGGGTTCGAGTCACTTCTGGGGTGTAAGTTTTCAGTTGCATATATGCCTGGGGACCATTCAGGCTTGTTCGCATATATATAAAGGGATTTTTTTCATTAAGACGCCTACAGTAGGTATACACACAGCAATGTGCTTCTACCCTATTCTATGTATCCTTAGATCAAAAGCTAGTAATGAATTCACCTAATATTCCCATATCATAAAATGGGAATATTAGGTGAATTCCCATTTTATAATAATTATAATAAATAGGAATAATTCCCATATCATAAAAACAATATTATACGAATCCTTACAATAACGGCTGGACTAAATAGGTGTACTTCCTAAATAAATAAAATTAAATAAAAAATAATTAACAAAAATACATCCGTCTAAATCACACATATTTGTGTCAAAGTGATTAACATTTAGCCAACAATTTGAAAGGTGACATATATTAGAAAAAGAAGTGTACTTTACACTTAGAGGTAGGTAGGTGTACGAACCAATGTACCTCTTGGACGTAGGTTCGAACCCTCGTCACGGCCCTAGTGGATTTGTTCAAAAGAAGTGTAGTTTACCATTAGAGCAGTGAGACAGATATAAAGACAATTTGTATCACAATATTAGGACAAGGTAAGGTACTGTATGGCTCTAAGGGGTTCAGTTCCTGATCCGATTATGTGCCTCTGTAACCCATTACACCACCGCCCACGGGATGGGTATGAGGTGCATAATAAAGAAATTGAAGATTGATTGATGATGATTAAGCCACCCAAAAGATGGCACGGGCATGATTAAGCCACCTTTTGGGTGGCTTAATCTTCATTAATCAATCAATCGGCTACCTGCGAGTTACAGCACCGCTCCTGTGCCAGGTAAGTCCACTACGGGCTCACCATAGCCCGTGCTACCTAGAACATTTTGTTCAGAGTAGCTTAATCTAAAACAACAACGACAGCTACCTAACACTGCTGTGTTCAAGGGACGCTCAGGGGCATTACTTTGCATGCACAACGTTAAAGTCTGACATGTGTTGTAAAAATAATCATATACAAGCGTGCTTGATCTTATGACCAGCGCTCATGAGAGCCATTACTCAAATGGGTCACAACGATTTGAGCCAAGAGTGTTGTTGTTTTAGATTCAGCTTCTCGGAACAAAAGTTCCAAGTATCACGGGCTATGGTGAGCCCGAAGAAAGGACGGGCTGTATTGTCAGTCCTTCCTCGTATACAAAGATCCAAGGTCATTAATCCAGCTGCCAAATCCCCTGTTTATGAATGATAAGCGGTTTACATACTGATGACGTCCGAACACTTCCGGAACAAGTGCTTCATTCACATCTTTTGTTCAAACCACAATTCTATAAATGCTTCATTCACGCACTTCAAATACAAATAATCGCCAGCAGAACCTAAATACCTAACCTAACCTACGCCTAACTATACATAGAATTTTTATGTATAATAATATTAATTTATATATAACAACAAACCAATTTTTAATACACAGTATGTTAAAATTGATAAATGCGTCTGGGGGGGTGACGGCCCCGGCTTTGAACAGCTTAGTGAGAACGGGTTTGTTTGTTTATAAGGCATGCTTGTGGTGTGTGACGTCACAATTTGTTATGACCCTTTAGTTTTATGCCAGACTGGGCAAGTAAGAATATCAGGTCTTAAATAACATCTAACGAGCACAAATGGGGTCCAACGGCTTTGCAAAGCAATATCCACTTTGAACATTGCCATTTTGATCGATTTTCATTGAAATGGTATACACCTCATTGAGGTATAAGCGAGAAGACTTGAGTTTGAATCCTAGGCATTGAGGGCCGATTGAGTACCGTTCCTTCAGACCATCACTGGCATCAGCCTAAATATATTTTAATCATCGGTATTCTGTTTTGAGTCTCAGCAGTATGTAACCATCTGCAAACACTGATATAAACCCATATCTTCTGGTAAGGTAGATAAGATGTATAGAAGGTTAGGAACAGAAAGGACGCACGCTTTAACCCATCTGGTAGTCTGTTAGTAACCTTTTTCCACCTTGTTGTCCTCCCTCTCACTGAGATCCTTTGTCCCTCTCCAGTGTTACTCCATTACTTAGCTTAAACACTTCTAAATACAGCAGGGAATTTATCGAGTCAGAGTTTATGTTGTCTGTGCAGGAAGGTGTCTACTGCTTTCTGTTAATGGAGGAAGCTGCAATCTACCCTCGCTTTCCTCTTTAAGTTCTTACCATATAAAATGTCAGACAATACTTCTCTTCAATAACTCGACTGTTTAGAGATAATATATTGGATTTTTTTTATAGTTCCATACGTGTTCTGGTCAGTCTCTAATACACCACAAGTGATACTTTTGACTTTTAATATCTGTCTTCACTCTTCAGTGGGTCGTCATCCTAGTACACAGGCACCCACTCCCCCAGTGCTTCCGTTCCAACACGATGATAACTTTTCCCTTTTAGGTGACGAGGAATTGAGCAAGGGGTCTGTAAAGAGCGTCTGCTGTGTCTTTTAGTATACACAGTGAGTTATACGTTTGGGTGCGTGCCCTTCATCATATCCACTATCTCTAATTGCTTAACTAACTAGTCTGATGTCACTTATATTTCGGTCAGTCTTTCATTTGGATGCGAGTGTGCGCACGCTTGTAGTGCATAACGTAATTAACCAGCGGTCTGCTTGACATATTAAACAAGATCACTAATGATCGAGATAGTAAATATAGCGACAAAGGGAACTGCACAATTCGAGAGAGAAAGAGAGAGAGACAGAGAGAGAACTATTATGACACAAATACGTTTCTCCTTTCAGCTGTACGAGGAAAAAAATTACAAGTTCGTGAGTTAAGAACAGAGAAAGTGGCAGTGGAAAGTAATAGAGGAAAAACACATTAAGCTAAAGAAAGTTCCTGTTCAAAAACCTGCACTAAAGCATCGTGATGAGAAATTTTAGTTTTGGACCGTAATTTGTGGAGGCTTTGGTTTGTATACTAAATATTTTCATACAGAACACAAATATAAACACAATAACACTGTCGCACCCGAATGTTTAGTAAACACCGAACGCCTATACTAAAGATAAATAATTATTATGAATTAATTGAAAGGAGAAACAGACACCAATTAAAACTTAAAAAACTGATGTATCCGTCCTCCTTAACTGTCTACCTGGCCCAGTACGTGGTAGACACACGGCCATCAGGAGATGGCCGTCTTGTATCATATTATATCATAGCAGTATCATATTTGATTACAAAGGTCTGTATTACGACTATTAGTAATGGTCAACGCAATGAGGCGTTCCAAATATGCTCGAAAATGGAAACGGAATTATTTGAAGAAAAAAAATCGTAATAAATAATAATAATGTTGAATAATAATTATATATAAGAGTAAAAATAAATGTTTCATAAAACAAGAACACATTATTATGCAGATGATGAGTCACAATAACGTGGTTGAAATATGTTGACCAAACCACACACTAGAAAGTGAAGGGACGACGACGTTTCGGTCCGTCCTGGACCATTCTCACAGTCGACTTGAGAATGGTCCAGGACGGACCGAAACGTCGTCGTCCCTTCTTTTTCTAGTGTGTGGTCTGGTCAACAAGAACACATTATCAACAGCAACACACAGGGGCGTGAACAGCACGAGGCTTCTACACTCATGAGGTTTCCAAGACCCACAAACAATTACATTAACGATAGTTTCTTATGTGCTCAGCCGCCACAGACTCGACAACATGTTTATATATATCCAGCTTTTATGAGCAGTAAAACTTTTTAATTAATATCTGAGAGATTTGTCTCTTCTCCGTTGTGCGGCTAATTTTATGAGGTCATAAAGTATGTTCATACGAGGAGGTGAGTTTGTGGTGTGTGTGGAGCCAGTGGTCTCTGGTATGGCACGAGAAGGCACGAATGGGAAGAGGGAGAGAATACACGAAAGGGAAGGGGTAGAGAATACACGAAAGGGAAAGGGGAGAGAATACACGAACGGGAAGGGGGAGAAAATACACGAAAGGGAAGGGAGAGAGAATACACGAAAGGGAAGGGAGAGAGAATACACGAAAGGGAAGGGAGAGAGAATACACGAAAGGGAAGGGAGAGAGAATACACGAACGGGAAGGGGGAGAAAATACACGAACG